TATCAGTCCCTCCTAACCCACTTTAGTCAACTTAAAGTACCCATGGCCTTGGTGGCCAAGAGGCTCCATTTCTGAATTATTTCATATGCTTTTTTTAAAAAAAAATGTGTGATTATATGATTCGTTAAGACCACATATCCTGTAAGCAAAATGATATAGAAGAACAAAATTAATTTTCTGCAGATCCTAACCATAGAATCTGTTTTGGAAAACTATGACGACGAAGTTATAGGACACAATTAAAATGTATGTGTATATTGTAATTAGTTTTTTTGAATCACAAATTAAAATATACTTTGTCTTCACCATTATATTTGTGATAATATGCCTGGAAAGACCTGTGTTACTATTGAGTTGAAGTCTTGGCTAAAGATTTTGAATTGTATATTAGGTACATATTCAAAGATAATTGAAACATTAGATACTTTTGAAAAGCATTGTCTTCCTTTTGAGGACAGTTGTCAGTGAAATGCTAGGAATCATTACAGTTACTCAAATGAGGCAACCTTGACATACTTGGCAGGAGCAATTTCTGGGCACTTTAAAAAACTGACCTATCTCCATCACTAAAATTAAAGTTCCCTTTCTTTGTGTTTCTTTTTTTTTTTTTTTTTTTTTTGACAGGCAGAGTGGACAGTGAGAGAGAGACAGAGAGAAAGGTCTTCCTTTGCCGCTGGTTCACCCTCCAATGGCCGCCGCTGCAGCCGGCGCACCGCGCTGATCCTGGCAGGAGCCAGGAGCCAGGTGCTTTTCCTGGTCTCCCATGGGGTGCAGGGCCCAAGCACCTGGGCCATCCTCCACTGCACTCCCTGGCCATAGCAGAGAGCTGGCCTGGAAGAGGGGCAACCGGGACAGAATCCGGCGCCCCAACCGGGACTAGAACCCGGTGTGCCGGCGCCGCAAGGTGGAGGATTAGCCTATTGAGCCACGGCGCCGGCTCCTTTCTTTGTGTTTCAACAGAAAAAGAATGCAAGACGATTTTAAATGGGTAGATTCTAAATATGAGTACATCTTCTACAATACTTGGGAATTAATTAAATACAACCAAAGGGAAAAAAAAAAACCTGTTTTGATAAAGATGCAATCGTTTTGAGTTTTGAGTGATTCAAATCCAATATAATTCATGTAAAAAAAATAGAGGACTTGTTTCCATGGATTTATTTCAGATTGATGATATATCTTCATCAAGGTGATTTAATTCTTAGAAAATAAGCTTTGTATCTGAGCAATTATTAAGAATAAAATGAAAGAAAAGACCGGACCTCGAGAAAGTGTCTGGTTTTCATGTAACTGTGGGTTGGCCCTCAGGACTGCCTCTACTCCATGTATAAAGCAGTGTCTTCAGCCTTGTCCTGTGTTGAATCAGATTAATAGCTGATTGGATTGCCAAATTGAGTAGACACATGTGGCATGTCTTCTCTCCTTGTTTAATCTGTCTCCCATCATTGAATGATGATTTTTAACTAATATTCTTTAGTAACTATAGGAGTATCTTGAATGTGATATATTGTGTGTACATGTACTGGGATTATCTCTTAGGGATTTTGGCTTGTAACCCAGTAGAGATATCCACACAGTTTAGTACACAGTCGACTGCCTGGTTCACCATTTGCACACATATTTGGGCTGAATGGACTCTGAGATGCCTGTGTGTATAGACGGTTGTCAGATGCTAGCATGCTGCAGCCTGCAGTTTGTACTCCTGGTTTTTCAACACTGGAGCATCTTTGTTTCTTAGTTGTTCTACCAGAGGTAGGTTACTGTTTCAAAATGAGTACATGAGAGGAGTTTCAGTTCTAAATTTTGCCTATAGTCAACATCCAGAAAGCAAGGTCAGAATGGCAGGTCAGGGAAGAAATCTAAGAGGCCAGCTCTGGGCCTAATTTTGGAATTTGCCATTTGGATTTGATCTCTCGTCTTCCCCAGATTCCTGTGGTGACCGCTGCCCTTTTTCAACTATTTCCCTTGATTCTGCTTTTCTTTACCTGTTCTGCAGGAGTCAGCCAGTGACATAAGAGGGGCCCCTACCGGGAGTAGCTGTGCAGCTTACCAGCTCTGTGACTTTGCCTAGTTGGAGCCTCAATGTTCTCATCTGCATAATGGGAATAATATCAGTGACCTTGCCACATGTTTTTAGTAGTTGTTGATATTGTATATAAAATGTGCCTAACATGATAACATTCTCCTTACTTTGTAAGTGTTTAAAATTTTCAAACTTTTCATCTGTTATGACGTCTTTAATATTGTCTTTTTCCCTTTCTCTAAATTACCACTGATTTAGTTTAGGTCCTTATCCCCTCTGTTCTCTAAACTGGTCCCCTGTTCCTAGGCACTGTGGCAGAGCAGGTAAAGCTGCTGTCTGCAGCACCATCATCCCATATGGGTGCTGGTTCTAGTCCCAGCTACTCCACTTCCGATTCAGCTCTCCGCTATGGCCTGGGAAAGCGGTGGAAAATGGCCCAAGTCCTTGGGCCCCTGCACCCACATGGGAGACCCAAAAACTAGCCACAGCCCCAATAAATAAATCTTAAAAAATATAAAATAGAAAGTTAACTAGCAGATGGAAGGTCTCTGTGCTTCTCTCTCTCTCTCTGTTGCTTTGCCTTCAAGTAGATGAAAATAGGTAAATAAACATTAAAAAACAGAAAATAATAAGTTCCATTCCTTTAGAGGCCTGTCACAATGGCTCAAAAATCCTTCTTTTTATTTTATTGATTTATTTTATTTTATTTTTTGACAGGGAGAGTTAGACAGTGAGAGAGAGAGACAGAAAGGTCTTCCTTCCATTGGTTCACCCCCCAAATGGCCTCTACTGCAGGCGCGCTGCGGCTGGCGTGCTGCGCCGATCCGAAGCCAGGAGCCAGGTGCTTCTCCTGGTCTCCCATGGGGTGCAGGGCCCAAGCACCTGGGCCATCCTCCACTGCCTCCCCGGGCCACAGCAGAGAGCTGGACTGGAAGAGGAGCAACCAGGACAGAATCCGGTGCCCTGACCGGGACTAGAACCCCGGGTACCGGCGCCACAGGCGAAGAATTAACCAAGTGAGCCGCGGCGCCGGCCTCGAGTCTTTCTTAACTAAGTGATCATCTTCTGAGTCTTCACAGTTCCCTGATTGCGTTGCAGGCCAAAAGTCATTGAGATATGAAAATATTTATAACTAATTATTATTAATATAGATAGTGTTTATTGAACATTCACTATGTGCTAAGCACATTTCTGAACACCGAACGTTTTTAACTTGCTTCATTCCCAAACAACACTGTATACACTATACATGTGTGCTATTGTCTTCCTTTCTGTCCCTTGCAGAGACCCAGGCAAGAGAGAGATTTTGCAGTGTAGACAAGTCCGCACACGTAGAAAGTGACAGAGCTGGCATTCCAGCCCACGCCTCCATCCAGCGCAGAAGCCAAGCCCTCTCACGGGCTGAGCTGGGGCTACAGGGGCTCCCTCCCACTCCTCACTCGCTGGTCTGCGTGGCATTCCCTAGCTCCTTTGGGCCACTCACTGTCGATGTAGAGAAGCTACATCTTGTTCTTTCACAGCCAGGCAGTTCCTCGGCCCCCATGAGCGCGCATTCCCTTGCTACCTATGCATTGTGACCTCCTTACTTCTTCAGCGAAGCCGGCCTGTTCCCACCATGGGCCATTTCTCCAGGAGGAAACCTTTCCGATTTTGGCCTCAGGCAAACCTGGTTTGATGTCTATTCCGGCTCTGCCATTTAGTAGCTTACAGGCCAGGTGGTTTTCTGAACCTCAGTTGCCTCCTTCGTAGCATAATCTTCAAACTCAAAGTGCAAGCTTCCTAGGGTCTGGGATTCCATGAATGATCCCTACAAAGAGTAAGCGCCCGGTACAGTGTGCTCCTAGATCCAGCACCAGGGGTGCACAGATACACAGGCTTCCTCCAAAGTGTGTTTTCTGCCTTTACTCTCCCTGTTTTTTATTTTCAAAATGTGTGCATGATTTCCTGGTGACTGTAACTACTGGCCTAACTATTGGCCGTGATCCGTTTGCTAACATCATCCATATGTTCCTCGCGCTGCTGCATATTTCGTGAGCGCCGTTTTAGGTCCTTGGGTTCTCTTCAGATGGTTCATGAATGATCCAACAGTCCAGTCACACTGTTCTCCGTTACGGTCATGTCCAGGAAGCTTTGGGTGTAGAGTAACTACATTCACTTTTGATGGAAGCGTTTTGGCCGGCGAGGTCAGGAAGCAGTCCATGGAGAGTCTGGAAATGCCTCTCGCGAATTCCTCATGCTAAGAAATGCCACAAAAGACTCCCGGGCCCTGCTTTCTTACGTTCCTCCACAGTGAACGTTGCACAGCTTCACTAGCCTTTTCCTCCCTCTCCAAGACACGTCAGTGTGACACCTTGCTCCTGCATCCCAGGCGTGGTGTTGCCAAGGTTGCTACAGCAACAGCACACACGAGGTGACATTCTGCCGTAACGGCAGTGGCTGGGACGTGAGTCAGTTGAGAAGCCTCAACAGGTTTTTATTAGCCTATGATGCAGTCCCGTATCGCCTGCAGTCCTTGGCCTGTCCAGGATTTAGGCACGATGATGCGGAACACTCGATGCTTCTCACCTTCAGACACTGCGTGGCCCAGGGTCCTCTGGCCAAAGCGGCTGCGGTGGCAGCTTCCTTCCACAGAGCCCCTACTACGATCTACATTAAGAGGCCCAAAAGTAAAAGATGGGCCCCCCTGCTGGAACTCTGGCACTGCTCTGGCTTCTCCTCTGTGCTCTTAAAAAGCAACAGTGACCTTGGTTGATGATCAAGAAATCTCACATTCTACCCAGGGAGCTGGACAATGGTTACCATCCCGCAAGCTGTGTTTCAGTCCAGCGGCCGGAAGGAGCCTGTGCTGAAGAATAAGGATGGAATTACTGTAATTCTCTGTGGGAATTGTGGAAGTGGAATTTACTGTGTGCTATTGCTCACAAGTGCTCATAGCGCTGTTGGTGACCTCTAACACGGGATCTGGTTTCTTTTTCAGACACGGAGATGACTTGATTGTGACTCCATTTGCTCAGGTAAGCACAGCTCAGTGCCTGGGTAGGCTTCTCACAAGTCGGGGGATTTAATTTGGGAGACTGGGTCTGGTTCTTAATTGTGAATCAAACGCAAGTATAAATGCAACTTCTGTGGCTCATTCAAGTAATTCAAAGGGAGGGGTGGAGCCTACGACTTTGGCTGTATTGATCTGGTTTCTATAAATCCATAGACCCAAACAGTGTCTTTGCTTCAAAGTTACCTAAGGGGTATAGTACTTAATATATAGCATATACTTATATATAGTGTGTGTGTGTATATATATATATATATATACTTATACATGCTTATATATAGTATTGTACTTCCTTAACTAACATAGCATTAGAAGCAGAAGGCTATAGCATGGATTAGCTTACACTTAGGGTAATCTGGTTCTGCTCAGTGACCGAAATACAGCAATTCAATTCATCCTGACACCTCATTGACCCCTTTTTTTACATATATAATTCATGCAAATATTTAGCTGAGTGAAATATTTACGGTTATTTGTTCCTTTTTAGGCATTCAAATTGTGAAAATATTTTAGCCACATAATGTAGAGGCAAGGAGGTGATAAAATGACCTAAAGTATTTGCAGTATCTAGCAAAAGATGAATGAGTGGATGTTCTTTGTGTAGGCCAGGGCCTCTCAGTGCTAGCTACACATTGGATCCAGCCAGAGCGCTCTTAACCCAGTACCCGGGCTGCACCCCAACTGCATTAAGTCAAAAAAATGGTGCATGGGGCAGGGTGCTGTCACATCCATTCGTGTGTGTGTTTCGAAGACCTCCCATCTCTCCACTGTGCAAGACGAGTAGGGAGCTCTTGCTGTCTATCAACAACTAGGGACAGAATAGGGGAAAACGGATTGATCCTGGGTCATGAAACAGGTTTAAAACCACAGCTGACTAATAAGAATTGTTAAATAGTGAAATACAAGCAATCCAGAGAGACACTAATAATTATAATCAGGGCTGTGTCTCCCGTAGCTGGCTCACCTCGGGCAGCCCACTGAACTTCCCTGCGCCTCTTGGTTTCCAGATGGCAAAATTAGGGACTGAATGAGGGACACCCAGGCCCGCACTAAAACTCTGGCCTCCTCGTGCTAACTGAACAGCCTTGAACAAGGTGCTGACCTGTCCCGGGCCTCTTTTCCTCCTCCCTCAGATGACAGTTCTAAGAATACCGGTTTCATTGAGTTGTGAGGAAGCTTAAGTGATATCAAACCTGTAAAACACTCAGCATAGTTTCTAGAGTGTGATATTTCATAAATTTTATTTGTAATTGACATAATTCTACAGACTTGGAATTGCTGTTTCATCTTGACAATGGGCTAATAGATGATGTTTTTAGATAATGAATAAAACCAGTATTGGGATTTATATAGTCTACTTTTTAAAATTCTCTGATATTTTATTATTACTATAAGACAGAAATTTAATTACTCCATAAATAACATAATGTATAATAGATGTTTTTAAAATTATTGCAGGAAATTAAAATCAAATGCAATCACCATCCCTGTGAGGGGTCTAAGTTTTTTTTTTAGCTTAGAGTTTGGCTAAAAATCATGTATTCTTTCTAGTGCCTATATTTCTATGTTCAGAAAAACTTACACTCATTTCAAGAATATTTTGTGGTAGAAAATATCATAAAGCTAAAAATTATTAATTGATTAACATTGAGAACTTAGAGTTTTTTTTATCTAAGAGCCAAGAGCTAAACAGATAAAGTCAGACAAAGCAATATAAACAACCATCATCAAAGGTAGAAATAGTCATTTGAGGCTGATTTATTTGGGAGCTGTTCTTACTTCCAACCAAAATCTCCAGATTTATAAGGAAAAATACTTAGTCAAAAAAAGTGATATTTTGTCTTCTGACTTCAAGTAGCAAGTATTTATCTCTAACAAATAGACTAATAAATTTCACTTGATCTCTGCCATCATTCTTTGTGGTATACCTATAATCTCCAGAAGACCAATAGGATTTCAATCTGTTACATATATTCTACACATAATATTTAAATACCATTTAGTACATGTTGGTAAGCTTTGAATGAAAAAGATGTCCTCAATTCCCTTGAAATTGGGACTTGCAATATAAACCATCTCTGTCTAATGTGCACCTGATGCCTGGCAATGAGCCTGCAGTGGGTTGGAAGCTTTGCTGATAACTAGCTGAGTGACTTGCAGCACCTTGCAGAGGGTGGCCATTGCCCCCAGAAATGGATTAAGTCTTTTCATGGAGCTTCATCACAGCCTGCACATTTGGCCCTTTACAAGGATGTAAGATGTGGAAAGCTCCACTAGAATTAAAAAAAAAAATAGACTGTTAAATGCAGGATAGTTTCTTTAAATTTTTTAAAGATTTATTTATTTATTTGCAAGTCAGAGTTACACAGAGGGAGGAGAGGCAGAGAGAAAGAGAGAGGGAGAGGGGGAGGGGGAGGGAGAGGGAGAGGGGGAGGGGGAGGGAGAGGGGGAGGGAGAGGGAGAGGGGGGGAGAGAGAGAGAGAGAGAGGTCTTCCTCTCTGGTTCATTCCCCAGTTGGCTGCAAAGGAGTTGTGCTGATCCGAAGCCAGGAGCCGGCAGCTTCCTCTGAGTCTCCCACATGGGTGCAGGGGGCCCAAGGAGTTGGGCCATCTTCTACTGCTTTCCCAGGCTATAGTAGAGAGCTGGATCAGAAGTGTAACAGCTAGGACTCAAACTGACGCCCCTATGGGATGCCAGCATTGCAGGGGGTAGCTTTACCCGCTACTCTACAGCACCGGTCCCAAATACACAATAGTTTTCCCACTGATAGAATATACTTGGGGAAGCAGGAAGTCCCAATAGCATCCATTTATCTGTGACCTTCTGTTAAGTCCGGTTGGGTCCCACTGCCATGTATTGTTGCCCAAGCCACTAACTCTTCCAGGCTTTTAACATACAGGGTAGGTCAGCGCCATGCTCACTAGGCTAATCCTCTGCCTGTGGCGCTGGTACCCCAGGTTCTAGTTCCGGTTGGGGCACCGGATTCTGTCCCGGTTGCCCCTCTTCCAGGCCAGCTCTCTGCTGTGGCCCAGGAGTGCAGTGGAGGATGGCCCTGCAGGTCGTTGGGCTCTGCACCCACATGGGAGACCAGGAGGAAGCACCTGGCTCCTGGCTTCAGATTGGCCCAGTGCACTGGCTGTAGCGGCCAGTCATTTGGGGGGTGAACCAACAGAAGGAAGACCTTTCTCTCTGTCTCTCTCTCTCACTTTCTAACTCTGTCAAAAAAAATAAAAAATACAGGGTAGAGCACTTACTACTTGTTGCTAAATATTATGATGCTTACTATATAAGATGTTTATATCTGTTGAAGTGATACCAACATCATCTGGCCTGCGCTAGCTGTAAATGCCGTCACCAGTGGACAGAAAGCAGATGGTTTAGGGCAGGAAATGATCGGTCCAAGTAGGCCAAAGGATTATCCTCTTTTCCCAGTGTGACTTAGGGTTTGAACTTTCACATTAGATTCTGGTGAAAAGGCTACAGTGCTCTCAAAATAAAATATTTTGAGTAAAAAAAAAAAAAAAAAACAGAAAATAAATAAAAACAAGAGGCAGAAAGTTTCCCATCCTTCTAAACCTTAAAATAACTATAGTTTTCCTTATAGACCTTTGGATTTATTTCCCTGTGAGTATTTTCCTTCCAGTGATTCGTAGAACAGCCCCCTCGTGTCTGAAGTGCTCCAGTTCTCCCTGGTCCGTCTCATCTTCTGCCTCTCTTGTTGCCCATTTCATTAGGCCTGAGCACTCCTCCAAAGCACGAATCAGCGTGATTTCCTGTGATGTGAAGAAAGGAAACTGCTCAGTTCCATGAGACTTTAGCAAGTCATTCAGAGATAGGCAAGTGCTCCAGTCTGTTGAATGGGGTACTGAAAACTGAAGCATCTTGGATAAAGGGATTTGCAGATGGGATCTTGCTCTGTCCCTCCATGTCCTATTCCCGTGTCTAAAACGCTGCCAGTGTTAAAAATTTTTGCGGGTGTTCAACCCCAGCTCTTTCCCACCTCCCACTTCGTACACTTCCCCTCTAAGCCCAGAATCCCTTCAATCCTCTTCAATCCAAGTGGCAGCTTTAAATATTTTTCATATTTCAATTTGCCTATGTTCGTGTTGAGTCTTTGGATAGGATATTGAGAGAATCCCGCTGCCTTGGCTCTACACCATCCCCCGCCTCATCTTCCCTGGAGCTCCGTATCAGGTAGACCAGTGGTTTGGGGAGGTCAGGGGCTGCTAAGAGGCGTAATGCCAATGACATGCCGGAAGCCCCTTCTGCTGCCTCTGGTCTCAGCATTCCCACAGTGTGTGGTTTGCCCACGTTGTAATACACTGAATGGATTGGAATTCCCACCTGGAAGTGTGGAAGGATGAAAGAAGTGGAATGTTTGAGGACCGAAGACAGGAAACACCCAGACCGTTATCCTGGACCCCTGGAGAGACCCTCCCAGGAGAAGACCAAGAACACATGCCCCGCTGGAATCAGGGCAGGGATATCTGTAGCATTTTACCTTTAATCCAACCAATGCACAGCTCCTGGGCTACGCTAAGCACAGGTGCGACACACAGCCTCTGAGCTTGTAAAGTTTCCCCGGCTGCTTCTGCCCATACCATGAAAGGGCATAGTTACCTCATGTCACTGCTAATGCATTTTAGCTTTTCTTTAGCCATCATCAATATAAATCACAAAGATCATCTTCCAGGTATCAAAATTCTTTTTAGATCAAACCTTGTGAAATTGTCAATATTTACCTTTTTTTGACCTATCACAAGAGCAATTTCATATGGTGTAACCAGAACATAACTTGAAAAGGTTTTCTCTTCAATTAAAATGACTTTTGTATTTCCTAAGTTATCCGAATTTGGCTCCAGAGGTTCCCTCTGGTGAATTTGAGGCAAGATATTCTTTCACCCTACCCATCCTCTGCCCACAATGCAATTCATGGTCTGTGTTTTGCTGCCATCTGGTGGCATCAAATGTATATAGCACAAGGGATCCCCCCCATGATGTCCAGTTGTTTAACTGTTTAATGACGCTGACATTTTCCCGCGGTTTCCAGTGAAACCTATGGGTTAATAAATGGCTGGGAATGCCTCGGGGAGTCAGAGAGCCACGAGCGTGAGTATCTGTGAGGGGTCATCAAAAATCTCACTGCTACTACGTAGTATGAAAAGACTATGCCTGAGTTTCGAGATCCATTGCGTGAAAGATAAAGCTGTCTTTTACTTCCATTTTCCCATACATGTTGTAAAGTTCCCCTGTCGTCTGTCCCCACGGGCTAACAAGTGAGCATCTGTGTCCAGAGTGTCCCTGTGACACCGTCAGCATTTCTCCACTAAGATGCGCACACAAGTTCTTCTCATCACTCCTGATGTTTGTCAGATGGTAACAGATTATACTGAAGGGGAAAAAGAGAAAGAAGTGACCTTCATTTTCCAGCCATATTATGCTGTTTGGAGAAACCCCAGAGACTTTTGATTTAGCAAACATAAAAGAGTGAAGAAAATTACAGGAACAGGGTAACTCTGACTACAGTTCTGAAAGCAGTGACTTCAAGGAGGCTAGAAGCTGCTGTGGAAGGAAAAGCAAAGGTGTGGACCCATGACTCAGGACACCAGCAGCCCTGGGTTCAAGTCCAGGTGCTGCTCCCAATTCCAGCTTCCTGCTGATGCGCACACTGGGAGACATCTAAAAAGTGTATCCAGTGGTTATGTGAAGTACAAGGAATAACGGTAAATTAGAGGCCGGCGCCATGGCTCACTTGGCTAATCCTCCGCCTGCGGTGCTGGCATCCCATATAGGCGCCGGATTCTGTCCCAGTTGCTCCTCTTCCAGGCCAGCTCTCTGCTGTGGCCCGGGAAGGCAGTGGAGGATGGCCCAAGTGCTTGGGCCCTGCACCGCATGGGAGACAAGGATAAGTACCTGGCTCCTGGCTTCGGATCGGTGCAGCACACTGGCCGTAGCGGCCATTTGGGGGTGAACCAATGGAAGGAAGACCTTTCTCTCTGTCTCTCTCTCTCTCTCACTGTCTAACTCTATCTGTCAAATTAAAAAAAAAAAAAAAAAACAACAGTAAAATAGACAGTTTAAGAAATAGAACAGTACCCCTCTCAAGTTCATCCACCTGCCCCTTCTCAGAAATAACAGTTTTATTTCTGTATTAATTAGTGAAGGGGAGACTTTTGGTTTCATAATACATTTTCCTGGTTGAATTCAGCAGTATGTGAAGATACAGAGTATTCAAAAGTAAATATATAGCATTTAAACGAGAAACCTGGACAAAACAATCTAATTTAATATCTTTCTTACAACAAAGGCAAAATTCTCTACCTAAATATTTTCAGGAACTAAAGTTTCCTTTCAAATGAGCATAGAACAAGAATTGCCTGCAATCCATTTTTATCAAACCCAGCTATCCAATGCAGTAAAGTTAGTGATTGTGTATCAGAATGAAAATGTCAGAATTCACAAGGTTAAAATTTTTGATAGGAAAGGCATCGGTTAGCTGGTGTAATAACCTTCTTTAAAATGCTTTATTCGAATGTTTGATGTTCACTTCTTAAAGCCCAAATTAAGGCTGCGCTATCAAATGGCAGGGGATCATTTATCCAGTTTATTTCGGCATCATTCAGGGTTTCACGGCTCATGAAAGACCTCGCAGTATGATGTCAGCAGCTGGCTATGTGGCTACTCCGTCATAGCCAGCCTGACCTTTGGAGTTGGGAGTTGTTTACATGCGATAATGAGCCAGGGTTTTCCAGTGCCTGAGTTCATCATGTCTGGCTGCTTAGGAAACACCATTAACTCCTTCAGGGGACCCACTGGACTCACACGAATAAAAGTCATTTTAAAAATAAGGACAAATATCGGAGGCACTTTTGTATACAAAAAATAAAAAAGCCTGATTTTTACACTAGGTCTTTGTTGGATGAAAAAATGCTGGAAACCATTCTGGGACCCCTGGAGCAATTAGAAATTCCTTTTAATTGATGCCGTATGCTTCCAAGGGCAGACATTAAACAGGTTCCCATGTGCACGCCAAATCATGAACCCAGTGTGATGTTGCCACAGTGGGCTGCCCCCCTCCCTGAGGGCTTTCTATTTGCCAAACCCTGTTCTTGACCCCTAACCTGTCACTTCGTTCGATCCTCACAACAAGCCCATGAAGCAGATACTACGATTCCTGTTTTACACATGGGGTAACCGAGGCACAGGGAGATGATGTAACCCGTCCGAGTTCACAGCCTTAATATGAAATCGAGCCAGGCAGTCTGGGTTGATCCATTGTGCCTAGTGGAACACGTTAAATCTGTTTTAGATAAACTGAACATTTGAGTTGTCCTCCAGATCACCTGTAATCCCATCTGGTACAAGGGCACTCCCACATGTTCATGGAAAGTGAAGTGTTGTGAGTTATGACAAGCCATGCACAGATTTCAGAATGCTTTGTGCCAAAATAGTGCCAGACCAAAGATAGGAATGTCATTCCTTTCTCTCATGCCATGGCTTTTGGAAGTACCCTGGTTGAGGGCTCATCCTGGGGAAGCCACACAACATAGGAGGAAGTGAGAGGGCAGTGGGAAGTGGCCTCTTATAACTTTCCTGCCCCAGGCTTGCTTCTTATTCTTTAGCTATTTCTAATTCCAACTGCAGTTAGAAAAAGGAAGGGCTGCTGGAGACAGTGGCACCTGCTGGTTCTGCCTTGGCATGTGTGGGGCCATGCTGGGTCAGTGTTTTTGGTTATCCAGTGTCTCATTGGCTATCTTCCGTGAGCCACACGCTGTGAACAGGCATGGCAGTTGCATGTTCCGTGAGTGGTGAGTCCCTGTGGGTCTCTTCTATCATGGTTCTGATAACATTAGCCTGGGGGGAAAATGCCTTTGTGGAAGCTAGAGGTACATGCGGCAAAGGTGAGGAAGCAACTTGACATTGACTTAGCTTGCTGGCTTGAAATGACGGGATTTATGGTGAAATTGTCAAGAGAATTCGGGAGTCATTTTGTCCTATTTATATCCCTAAAGTAAATCTCCATTGGTGTTCCATTTAACCTTATTTCAGATTTGCAAACAAATGCAACAGTGCTGTGTGTATGTATGTTGCCTGGAATATTATACTGGGGGCTATGGAATCCGAGGGTGCAGTGGAAACTGCTGCCATGGCCGCCATGGTCATGGGCATGGAGGAGAGGGTTCTGGCCCATGCTGTCTGCACCTCAGACAGGTGCATGTAGACTTCACTGCATGCCAGGAGACCTCTCAGTGGGGTCTGAAACTGAGTGGCAAATAGCAATATCAAGCTTTCTCCTAACAAATCACTTGCAAGTGCATTAAAATGACCCCAGTTGCAGAAGTTTAAAGTATGCTTTGTTGTTGTAGGTCTTGGCCAGCCTGCGAACCGTGCGAAACAACTTTGCTGCCTTGACTAACTTGCAGGAACGGGCGCCCAGCAAGTAAGTGATCCTCTTCTGCCCTCCTTCTTGCTGAACTCTGTTAGTGTGGTCTCAAGTTCATTGAACACAAGACATTATATGCCACACTACTCTGAGTCATTGCCATGCTGTCTAACGAGGAATACTGAGTCATAAGGTGCCCTGTTAGTTTCCTATAAATACTTTGTGGTGAGGTTTCTGATATCAGAAATGATGTACTGTGACAAATAAATGTGGTGATCCCATCTGTCGGAAATCACCTGGCATCCACAGTTCCTTCCACGCTGGGTAATTTTATAGTTTTGGCTTACTTCGTAAATTAACCAGGGCAAATAGTCTCGCCAAGCTTCCAAGTCAACTCAAAGTCACCCTCTTCGTTCTAAGACCCCAGAGAACTTTGATTATTCTGCTGTTACTGACTCTCAGATCAGCAGCTTTCATGGAGCAATTAATAAAATTGTGATTTCTGTGTTAACGGTAGAAGAATTTGAAAAAGGGATAAAGCTGAGATGGCAGATCATTGCAATTTAGGGATTCTGATCAAAGTGAAAAATCTAAAAAGAGAAAATTGATTTTCCAAGATTAAAAGCAAAACTGATCACCCATTATTCAAATTTACAGTATTTTTAAAAACCATGACTAGTAACAAACGTATTATTAAAATAGCAACTCGGGAGAATGTTCCAGAAGGATCAAAACATAAAAGTTAATATTAAGAAAACAGTGACTAGAAATCTATTTGGAATTAAAACTTATCCAAGTCTATAAAATTATATGATAGCTGCTCTTTGTTGAAGAACATGAAATGTCTGAGTGTTCCCTTCTATAATAATAGACTTGACCTCCTAAATTCACATTTTCCACAATTAAAGAGAGCTCTAGCCATTATGTAGATTTTCTGTGGTAGAAAATGGTCCTTAAAAAATCAATACAGAGGCCACAATCCAAATAGCTGGACTGGAACCCAGAACCTTCAGTTGAGTGCCGTGCTAGCAGGTGAGGAATTTCTGTGGTCCTACTGCCTCAGCCTGGACTCTGCACCTTCTTTTTTTTTTTTAGGATTTCTTTATTTATTTGAAAGAGTTACAGAGAGAGGTAGAGACAGAGAGAGAGGTCTTCTATCCGATGGTTCACTCCCCAAATAGCCACAACAGCCAGAGCTACGCCGATCCAAAGGCAGGAGCCAGGAGCTTCTTCTGGATCTCCCACGTGGGTGCAGGGGCCCAAGGACTTGGGCCATCTTCTACTGCTTTCCCAGGCCACAGCAGAGAGCTGGATTGGAAGAGGAGTAGCTGGGACTAGAACCAGCGCCCATATGGGATACTGGCACTTCAGGCCAGGGCTTTAACCTGCTGCACCACAGCGCCGGCCCTGCACCTTCTTTTTCCTCTCCACATCCCCTAGAATAACTCATTCATTCTTTAGGCTACAGCCTCAGTATCATTTTCCTGGGGTCTATCCCCTCTGACAGTACCCAACCTAGACACACCCACTGGCCCCAAAGCGGCTGCTGTGCCTTCCCGTTTCCATGTGACTGCATCCTGTCCTTAATGCCCATGCTAGCACCTGTCTCTCTGCTCCTGTTGCCCATATTCTTGTTGGGATGATTCTTAACAATGTCAACCCCTGGTAAGCAGGGGCGCTAGTTTGCTCACCGTTTCATTCCCTGGACCTAGCAAAATACAGAGTGATGGCCCTGCAGATGCTTGTTGGCTGAAAGTGTAGTGTGGTCATTCAGCCTGTGCAACCCAAGTGTGCCGCTCATGCCAACCACATTTTCCATACAGCGTAGCCATATGGGATCGTGGCTTTGGGGGTTTGGTAGCTTATAGGGACAATGTCCACACAGTTAGAAAAATCTCAGCTCTGCAGGAGGGAATGAAATTACTAATTATCACTCTCAAATGCTTTACTATCAAATTTCATCTAAGAAACCAGTTTGAAAGGCAAACAGGAAATTAATTCCCTTTAAGCTTCCTTTAGCCGTGGTCACATGGGTAGCAGCATTTAAACTGTGGCAGGCAAGCAGGATTGGCCCTTCTGTCTCCACGAAGATGATCTGAGCCCCGTGCTATGCAAGATAGGCGCTTTCAGCTGACTTGCAGAGGCAGACAGATTAAAGTGGGAAGAGGCAGCTAGAGGAGGATACGGAACCGCAGCTGACACCTCAAGTCCTGACCAGCCTTGACCACTGTGCAGTGCCAAGGGTGGCATCTAGGCCAACAATGTCATCCGGTAAACTCTAGGTGAAGGCCAGGGTGGCCTCTCTTGAGGACAATGCCTGTGCTTCCTCTACTGATTCAAACTGCGACAGCCCCCTCCAGTATCAAAGAGTAGGATTCAGTGTCCACTGCTAGGCTGCGTTCTGTCAGGGACATGACTCTGGCTCGTCACTGATGACTCTAGAGGAATTAGAACTTGACCTGCTGTGCACTCCAGGGCCCCGGGAACTTCCCAGACTCACCACTGGGTTTTGTGGAAGGTGCATTCGCAGGCCTGCACAGTCTGCCTTCTCATGTGCTGCAGGAGAGGACTGTGGGCAGAATGCACCGAAAGCCCACCCCTTGGGCGTGCACTCTGATGCGTGGCTGACGTCTGTTAACCTGCCACCACTCCCTCACCCCTCGCTTGTTCTTGTTCCGGCCTAGTCTTTATTAAATGATGCATCAATCTAACCCCAGATCAAAATATGGATAATTTCTGCTTGCTGTTACTTGTATCAAGCTCCCAAGTGCCAGCTGTCATATTGATGTTAACAAGAAATGGTAAGGAGGCAACCAACTTTTGGTTTTCCAAAACTATGCAGTAGCATAAAATTATTCAATTGATAACTTCCCTAGCCAGTACCAGTTCTTAAAGTACAAGGACTACAAAGAAACCATCAGTGCATAAATTACTGGAATATTGAACTTTCAGCAAGAAGATAGCTACTAGGATATGGACCAAAGCTATTTAAGAGCAGCAGTTCCAATCAATGGCTAGCAGTTCCAGTGGCAGTTAAGACACACGCACCCCACATCAGAGGGCCTGGGTTTGATGCACAGCCCTGCTCCTGACTCCAGCTTCCTAAGGGAATGGCTCCAGTAATTGCCCGGACAGCCTTCCCAGCTCCCAACCTGTCTGTAACCCTGCCTCGGCCCAACCCCTACCCAGCCCCGGACACTCAGGACATGAGCCAGTGGATGGGAACTCTCTGTCTCTCAAACAAATAAATGAAGCATTAACCTTTTAGTTTTATGAAATATATATCAACTTCAAATTTCCCTTTTTTGTTTTGTAATCAAAAAATTCCCATTATTCAGAATCTGAATGCATTTTCAAATCAAGAACAAAATTTAAATCTCAAGCTGATGTCAGTAAACTTAAGAGCAATGAAGTGGAACCAGAGGCTGAGTGGAGCCAGCAAGGATTTGTAGAACACCAGATTGCTTCCCCCAGGGGTCTCGCAGTCCTGCGGAGGGAGTCGTCACACCAGCAGGGTGCATTGGGAGAGACTTTGGTGTGGCTGTCCATCCCGGTTCCACAAAAGCCTCTATAGATGCGGCCACAGGCCAGAGCACAAGCCCCACAACCAGGGTGCTTTAGTTCACATCTCAGCTTTGCCACTTTAAACGCATTTTTCAACTTCCTAAAGCTTTGTCTTCCTCATTGGTAAAAGGAGAACCACAAGTCTCATGCGTTAGTAGGACTGAACAAGAAAACTCTGTGGAAGTGCTCCTTTAGCACATTGAGTGCTTCCCTGTTGGCTACTGGTAGAAGTGAAAACAAACAAATAAAACTCAGATGTTTTGCTACTTCCTTAAATGTATCTACTCTTAAAGGATTTTTAAAAGCAGTATATTTTTTAAAATGGCCAATTATAAATAACATTAGAAAATTATGTTTCAAACATTCCATAAATCACATTCTCAACATGATTTATGAAGCACTGACTGAATTCTGGATACATCATTCTGGGCTCTATAGGAAACACAGGTTAATCATATAGCATGATTTTTGTTTTTTGTTTTCCTCAAGAGGTTTACAATCATAGAGCATGAAAAACAACTAAAAACTTACAGAATACAAAATAGAATCTATTGAAGTTCTGTTTGTTTGTAGTATTTCCCTGCGAAGCTGACCTCCCTGAAACTCAGCAAGAGCCCTCTTAGGCCACTACTGGTCCTGGTTTCAGGTCTCCCCAGGGGCCATGGAGTAGAGTGACGCGATGCACTCATCCCATGGCCACTGATGAGCTTCCTCTGCCCTCATTTGTAGTATTTCTGAAATCTCAAACGTCCCCAACAAAGCTTTCAGAGATGTTTCGCAGTGTAAGAAGATAGAAAGGAGAAAGTTTGAATAGTTTGAAAAAGTTTGAATTAGTTTCTCTAATTGTAAGATAATTTACAAGGAGTCATTCACATCTGATAATGTAAGGTGATCATGAAGATTTGTGCCAAAGATGTAAGCTTGTAGATTGATTGCTTTTTCTAATTCAGAAAGTCTGTGTTTGTTCTGTGAGTCCTGGCTTAATTGAATATAGGCAATGAATAAGAATTTTGCTTCTGTGGTGTCCCTGAGACATTTATATCACTGTACTGTACTTACTCCAAAGCCTATCCACATGAGATTTAGCAGTTTTCTTCTTTGACACATGTGGCCTGAGCCATCATAGCAAGGGTGCCCAGGAACTTGACTGGATAGTCTGCAAGCATCTTCATTTGCATATCATAACTTAAAAAATAATCCTTTAAATTGCAATGCCATATCAGAAATGCCTCAGGGAATCTGCAAACCAACAATCACCAATATTTACTTCTCTACATTTTTCTCTCTTTGTCAGAAGATCACCCATGTGCAACCAACCATCCATCAACAAAGCCACCATAACAGGTAAGAAGGATCTGGGAGCTTATTCTTTGCGCGTTTAGGAAGAGGCTGTACCTCCCAAGGGTCAACATCATGTTAACAGCAGTTTTATACCGTAATTATAACATGTTAATGAAATAGGGTTTTTTTCTCTATGTTATCATTGCAATCCCTGATCTCACAAGTTGTCTATTGATGCTGTTGCTTGGAAAATCTTGACTGAGGTGTCATTTTTTTTAACCTTGCAACTTTGTGCTTGTGCTCAGTTTAGCGTTGCTCTGGTCATTTGTATTTTTAGAGGTAACATTAGCTTCAAAATGGTAAATATTTTGGTTCCATGCTTGGTTGTTTATATGTGGTATGATGTGATTATGTGGCAGCTTAGTTTAATGAAAGTGAAATCATAAAAGGGTTCTTACTTAATCAGTATCCCAAATGTGTGTTGGAAGTAGCTCTGAGTAATCCTTATTATAGCTAAGAACAAATTCAGTTTGGAAGGGAAGAGAGGTTTTAATACAATGCAGAAAGGTTCATTGGGATTGAAAGAAGAAAATCCACAGATGTTTGGGAAAGCAAAGTGTAGGGGAAGATGAGGAAAGATAAAGGTGTAAAAATAAAATTATCCCAATTCCTATTAGTCTGTTTTAGACATGAGACTTGACCTTGGCTGAACCAAAAACAGAATGCATGGTCTCATTTTGCTGAACCTGAAACCAAATTGAACCAATATAATCATTACTTGAAACCCTGTTTCATTAAAATAAATGCTTGGGAAAGAGATTCTCCAAACTAGACCAATATTTGATTTGATTCAAAGTTTTTCCTTAGACTCTAACCCAAACTATGCTGAGGAGTTACTTACCTAGTTATTTGGGAGTACACTTTGCTTGAAGAGACAGAGAGTGCAAGATTGGCCATCTTCTGGTTCACTCCACTGTTGTCCAAAACAGCCAGGGCTGGGCCAGGCTGAAGCCAGGAGACAGGAGCCTCCTCCAGGTCTCCCAGATGGGTGTCAGGGGCCCAAACATTTGCCCTGTCTTCTGCTGCTCTTCGAGGCCATTGGCAGGGAGCTGGATCAGAAGTAGAGCAGCCACCACATGGATAGGTGCCCAGACAGGATGCCAGTGTTGAAAGCAGTGGCATTAGCTGCTGTACCACAATGCCAGTCCCCTCATAGTTGATTCTGAACCAGTTAATGTTTTCTCTTTAGAGAGTCTATCAAATGGGGCTTGCATTTCAGTGAATATTAAATCATTGGCTCTCTTTTCCATGTTTCTCTTTCATGATCTTATTGGTGATTATTTTCAATTGTTATTTCAGAGTATATACAAGGGTTCTTCAAAAAGTTCATGGAAAAGGCACATTATCTTTTAATGACATTTTTCTGTGAGCTGTTTGATGTTTCCTTGTATATAGTTTACCAGTTTGGTTCTTCACATTGATCGAGAGATGAACAATAAAAATCTATCTATGCTACAGGAAGATATTCGGTAGAAAATGTCTTCAGAAACCCAAATTCAATATAAATGGGCCTGTACTAAGCAGAGGGTGTGGAGCCATGTCCTTGTGTCTCTGTGCGCTTTTCTGAACATGTTGTGGGATGAACCAGTCTTCTGTGGACGTGAGCCTAGGGCCCTAGTAAGACAAACCGTGGGGAATCTGGTCTCCAGTCCTGGGCTGGGCAGTCTATCTCTTTGCAAAGAATCCTCACGCCATTTTTGTAATAAATGAGACTGTTTTCAGTAGAATGCAGTGCTATTTTGGTCCCCAGATCTTTTAGTTTCAGGTCACACAGGAGCTGGCTTCACAGGTGAGCCAGCACCCCCCGCCCAGAGGTTCAGCTTCAGGTGCCAGTGCAGACTGCTGGTCCAACAAGAAACAGTTGGGTGCTCAGTGCTTGGGGTGGCTGCTCAGCCACTCTGGCAGATGCCCAGCCCAGATTAAAGGGAGATGGCTGCACTCAGAGGGCTCGGACTTGGTCCCAGACACATGTGAGAGACCCCACAGGAGATCTTAGAAACTTTTATATAATACTGAGATCCTGAAGCAATTCTAGAGCAAACCATGAAGTATAAAGTTTGGAAAGGAAGGTGCATATGGCTTAAGTTGTACCCTCAAGCTCCTGACCTGAAGCCTAGGGCCAATGGGGCTATAGAAATATCTTAATCTACATAGGAAACTAATGGGGCTCACGTTGTGGTATGGCAGGTTAAGCCTCCACCTGCATCCCATATGGGTGCCGGTTCAAGAGCTGGCTGCTCCACTTCCAGTCCAGCTCCCTCCTAGTGAGTCTAAGGAAGCAGCGGAAGATGGCCCAAGTGCTTGGGCCCCTGCACTCACGTGGGAGACCCGGAAGGAGCTGCTGGCTCCTGGCTTTGGATCAGCCCAGCTTTGACCATTGCAGCCATTTGGGGAGTGAACCAGCATATGGAAGACCTCTCTCTCTTTCTCTGTAACTCTGCCTTTCAAATAAATAAGTAAAACTCTAAAAAAGAAGAAAAAGAACTTCAACTGTCTGCATATATCATACTCTGATGTCATGCCATGCTTTCTAAGGATTTCTCCCTTTGAACTCACAATATCCTTTTCCCCTCATTGAGACTATTCCACTTGACACGTACAAAAGCTAAGAAAGTTTGATTTTCCATTAGGATGAAAGCATGTTAGTCACTGCCAGTTTTTATTTCCATATATAATAGGTAAAGATACAGATCTAAAGTGATCTAACAGTTCTTTAACAACAAAGCTTCTAAAGGTACGTTTACAATAGAGACTATTAAATGCCTGTTTTGTTCTTTCTGGTGCTTTAACAAAAGATGGTGGGTAGCATTTGAAGCCAAAGTGTGAGCCCCGTCTTTCTCTTTTGCCCAATTCTCAGGACTGTTGTGAGGATTCAAGGGTTACAGAAAGGATAGAGTCCCAGTAGGGCCCCCTCCAACCCTGCCCCAGGCTCACATTTGTTTGTGGTTGTTCCCAAGGCTGATTTAAAAACTAGAAGAATAGAGGTGGCAGAGGTCATTAAATGTCTATCAGCTTCTGTGTGCATTTCACTCACATCTTGTCAAGGTGCTTTCAGAAATCCCTACATTATTTGGAGTAAGTATTCACCTACTTGGTGGGTGTGTGCACCAGAGGGACAGTGTGGTGAAACATGTTTTGGGATCACTTTCGATCTCTGTGTCGGGAGTTGAGCTGTATCACCGTATGGGACGGTCAATTCGTTTGAGCACTTCGCATTCCAATGTAAAGAAAAAGGTTCTGCAGCCATCCCAGGAAATCTTGTCATGTCTTCCCAGTATCATGCTGAGTGTGTTTCTGAATTTCCATATTTTTCAACTTCATTTCATCACCTGTGATTTGAGGATTTTCATGCAAGCATAGCTCTGAGAAAATCTACTTAGATTTCTTTGTTTTAAAGAGGAGAAAACTGAGACATGTGAGAGAAAATGCTGCCTAGTAGCAGAGCCAGGAATAAGTATGTGGTTCCTTAAAAATCAAAAAAATTATTTATTTATTTTGAATGTCATAGTTAGAGACAGAGACAGAGAGAGCGAGAGATCCTCCATCCACTGGTTCACTCCCCAACTGGCCTCAATGGCCTGCCCTGGGCCAGGCCGAAGCCAGGAGACAAGAGCTTCATTTGGGTCTCCCACGTCGGTGGCAGGGCCCCAAACACTTGGACCATCTTCCATTGCCTTTCCCAGACCACTAGCAGTGGAGCAGCCAGAACAGAAAGCGGTGCCCATATGGGACACAGGTGTCAGCGTCGCAGGCAGCTGCTTTACTCACTACGTCACAGTGCCAGCCCCATATGGTTCCTTTTTCTGAACCCAGGGTCCCTCTTCCACTCATAAGTATAATTGGCCCTTCGTCTCATGGAAGTGTGTGTTTTAGAGAAAAGTGTTGAAGAATGTTAATTTCTAAGTAATAGATACAGCATTGGAGTATTTGTACATGAACTTGAAAATTAGAAAATATATTATCCAAACTTTGGACTTGTCCTTTAAGTTAGGTCTTTTTTATTCTACACTGGTTATATCCTAGATGCAGAAAGATAGACGGCCTAAGACAAAGGACTTTTGGCTTCTGAGTTTGGAAAATACAAGGTCTTATATCCAAGCAATAAACTAGTGTGATTACCTCTTCTCACCTGTAGAGGGAGACACATGATGCGGTGATGTCCATCGACTCAGCCTGAACTGGTTCAGGAAAAAATGCGGTGTAGTCTCCATTCTGCTTTGTATTTTCTTACCCTGAATATTTATGACTTTGTTCTTAAAAAGGGCACATTCTAAATATAATTTAGTCAACCAGTAGGTAGAGGATTAAAAACTAAACTGTCCAAATACTAGTCAGTCAAAATGTGATGAAAAGAAAATCTTATGTTTATTCTTTGTGCTAAAATCCAAAGGGAGAAAGCAAGAAGAAAGATACTTAGCTGGGACAAATATTTTATTACCTGAGCTAATCGTTCAATGCTTTGAGCTTATTAGAGGAAAGAAACTAAGCGACTATTTCATGGTGACAGTAATAATGCTAGCTGCTTAGATCTGCCCTTTAAGTCTATTTGAGTGTTTTTATATAATATATTTAATATTTTGTATATAGTCTATATAATATTTAAAAATATATAGGGTCTGGCACTATGGTGTAGCAGGTAAAGCTGCTACATCCCATACGGACGCTTGTTCGAGCCCAGACTGTTTCACTTCCAATCCAACTCCCTGCTAATGCACCTGGGAAAGCAGCAGAGCATGGCCCAAGTGCTTGAGCCCTTGCCTCTACATGGGAGTCCCGGAAGTAGCTCCTAGCCTGTGGCTTTGGATCTGGATCGGCCCAGCTCTGGCCATTGGAGCCATTTGGAGAGTGAACCAGTGGATAAATCTCTCTCTCTTTCTCTCTCTCTCACTGTGACTCTGCATTTCAAATAAAACAAATATTTAAAAAAATGGAAATACACATGGGGCGACATTCATCACAGTAGTTAAGCCACCACTTGGGCAGTGCATATCCCTTATCAGAAC